AAAAACTTGAAAAGACTAGAAGAGACGATTGGAAAAATCAGTACACATGTCGGGGTGGATGAGTTGACTGTTAGTCGACCGTTGGCAGTTAAAAGGAGTGATGAGGAAAGTCAAAATGATTTAGTAGTTGTAGGTATTTTTGTATTCATTAAAAAAGGTCGATAAGGATTGGAGGCAAACGTCTTTCGGGTATAATTGGAGGCAGTCGCTGATGTTGAGAAGATGATTTTTTGTTAGACTGTTGTTGGAGAGGATTCTACCCCTGATGTCAAATTTTGAGCACTCGTTGAGGTGGTGTATGGTTGTATCAGTTTTATTTGGGCAGTATTTGCACTGGTTAGTGGTGCAGATGTTGCGGGCATAAAGAAAGTGGTTAGTAAGCAACGAGTTTGTTCTAGCGCGATTAATGAGGACGTTGATACGGCGGTCCGTGATGTCAGGAATAGAGATATCTGATGTGTTAGAGAGCCAAGGGTAGAGAGATTTTTTGGGTTGGGTAGAGAGATTTAGGTGTTCCATTTGTTGTTCATATATTTCTCGTTGTCAGACTTGATGAGAGAGTTGAGGTCTTCGGCAGTAATATAGTGGGTAATGTTAGAGTTGGGGGGGTTGGTTTTGGCGAGTTTGTCCGCTTGTTCGTTGATGGGGATGCCTTTGTGAGCCGGGGTCCAGATAAGCTTGGTCTGAAGGCTGAGGATATGCCTTTGATTGAGGATGGTGTTAATGGTTTGGATTAAGGTAGACTTCTCATGTTGAGCGTGGAGAGCCTTGATAACCGATTTCGAGTCCGAACAAATGATGGCATCTTCCTTTTTGTGGGTAACATGATGGATTGCCTGAAGGATTGCGTATCCTTCTGCAGTGAAAATCGTGGCCTCAAGGTGGAGAGAGAAGTGGGCCATGATGTTGCCTTTTTTGTCAATAAAAGCCGCTGTCACGGTGTTGGAGGTTTTCGACCCATCAGTGGCAACGACGGTGTTGATATTTTGCTGCTCCTCTCATTCTTTAAAGGACTGTTGGATGAAAATGTCTGGGAGATTGGAGTTTTGGAAGGCAAGGTCGTCGAGATGGATGGTGTGGATGGAGGCGTTGGTGATGCTGGACGGCTTTAACGGAAGATTGGATGGTTGAATGTTATGCAGGAGAAGCCATGAGCGGGTGAAGTGAATGAACGGAATCTTGACAAGAGAGGCGCCAGAATTGTTGTGTATGTTCTGAATCATGGAGTGGAAAAGGAGGTCAGAGGTAGCTTTCTTGACGTAGGTGCAGTATTGTTTAATGATGCATTTGTGGAAGCGGCATTCGAGGGAGGTTTTATTTGCGGCATGGAGTGTAACAGTGTTGTTAGTAGAGATGGGAAGACCCAGGCTGTGTTTAATGTATTGGGTTTGGATGGACTCTTAAGGTGTGGCGCTGTGTCTTGGTGAGAGTGGCAATACTGGGGATGGTGTATGTAATAATACTACCAATGGTGCTGTTAGCAATGCAGAGGAGGTCAGTCGGGTGGCCGCCTGTATTCTTATTACAGAAGATTTTGAATATGTTAAGAAGTTTCCTGTATTTGTTGTGGATATATTGAACGTGTGTATTCCAAGAGAGATTAGCAGTGATAAAAATGCCAAGAGTTTTTATTTTGTTCACCTCGGGGATGATCTGGCCTTGGAGAGAAATGTCCTGGTTGTTATGGATGTTGATAGGGATGTGGAGGATAGCACATTTTTGTGGTTGAAACCTGATATCGTTGATGCTGGCCCAATTCTCAAGGGAGTGGATGAAGTGGGCAGTGCTATGACGTAAATTGGTGGGACATGGTTGAACAGTTGCAGTAAATTCGTGTAGTTAAAATACTGATGCATGGTTGAAGGGCTTGTAGCTGTAGGCAATCACTTAATTTCTTAATGGTTTTGTTTGTTTGGCTGATATCCTGTAGGAGAGATTGTCGAGGGGCTTGAAATGTCATGCAGTCGATACAAAGCAGGGTGCTGTCAATTGTTTGGGCAAAACTTGCATTTGTCAGATTGTGTTAATTTGCAACGGTAAAGGAATTGATTGGTGATGAAGCTGTTAGTCCATGCTCTGTTGATAAATGTGGTGATATACTGGTTGTGGTCGTCAATACTGTGTAAGATCTGTTGTTGGTTTAACAACGGAAACTCGTGTTGCTTATAGTATTGTTTCCATTGTTCGTCTGTTATCTTTTTGTTCTCTGTTTTTAAAGAATACCAAGAAACACTGCGAGATGTGTTTTCTTTTGAAAAAGAGGACCAATGTCGACATCTGCTACTAAAGATCTTTTGAAGAAGTGTGTCAGAACAACAATCTTAGGATGGCATCCAAACCTGGGCGAGGTTAATAATTTTGGGGATCTCTGTAATTACAATACTATTAATTATTTCTGAAAAGAGAAAAGCAATCGACGTTAGACATATTCTTTAACCCCACAAACGGAAAATACATGACTAATAAAAATGCAAGACTATATATATACAGTATATTATATAAATAAAACGTAGTAAAAAAAGTATATATTTTTTTATTTTTTGGAGTCTCCGGAACGAATTAATCAAATTCCCATAAAAACCTATGATAAATTGATATTCGGATAACAAAGTCATGGAATGGATTATGTTCGTTAACCGATCACCCACTGTATTTCAAAATGTTGATTATTACAGTAGACCCCCTATAAAACGGGTTCATATAGTTCGGATTCCTATATCACGGCGAAAAAATTGCGACAGTATTCGTACAAACACGCTAAAAATCGTCATCGCCGACTCGTGTCGCGACAAGATTGGTCGAATCTAGACCAATAGCGGATATTGTACATACCGTTGAGTTTAAACGAGCAGCGGACCTACTAAAAACCATTTATTATTTAACGTCCATAAAAATTATATTTATATTAATAATGTCTCCAAAGTTCAGCGAATTTTTCGCAAAAAAAATAAATTATCAGGAAGCACGCGAGCGCCATTCGATGCACGCTCCACGACGAAAACAAGCTTAAGCAATGGCGTCGTCTAACGGTGCACACTCGGTAAGTAATCCTACAATTTTGTTTATAGCATAGTTTATATGGATTATTCCCAAAAAATATACGTATTTTGGAAATATTGAGTCGAATTAGTCTAGAATCGATTAATTTTATGGAAGAAACCTTTCAAACAGCCGTAGTCCGTAAACTGCATACGTGCCGGGCTGTGATTGGCTCATGTATTTAAGTGACTCGTAGAAAATGGATTCATAAAAACCGGAACGTATCTATCGTGTTATAGGGGGTATTTATTTTTAATTTTGACCTTTATTAAACCGAAAATTTTGTTTGTGATTAAAAATATATGTAAAAAAATATTCAGCAACAAGTTGCTTAATTTTCCCGGAAACATTTAAAACTGCCTATGTGGCATCATCTGTTATAACATTTTATTATTAAAACTTTTTGTCATTTTATAATAATTAAAAATATAAAGATTAATTTTGAGAGCAGGGGTAGGTTTTATAAAAAAAAATTATAAATGCTAATAATGAGTAAAATCGTCACCAAGTCTGAACATACTGGAGATACACACGACCCCCATATCTCCCCATCCCTCGACCTTTAATCGCCAAAATTTAATAGCATCAGTCCACTCAAATTCCTTGTTATAACGCCGATATAATCTTTCCTAATCCTCAGTTGCGGGTTTTCGTATGGTATCCTATACACGCCTGCTTTTTCTTCCTTACTAATGCTATTCTTGTCATTTCTTAAAATTTTATATAGGTTCGGGGCTCTTTTTTAGAATAATTGTTGATCCTTTGCGGTCTGCAATTTCTTTCATAATTCCTTTGGCATATCTGTTATAAGTGAATTTTGTAATTTTACTGGGACCTTGTATTGAGCCAGTTGTTATGCCCTTCTCGCATCTTCTAACGATTCCTATTATAGTGCCTTTATTGTATCCTAACGGTTCAACAACTTGCAGAATTCTGTCAATTTCCTTTGCTCTGTCCATAACGTTGTCACAATATAGAAAGACCCTTCTGATTAGAGCCCGGAATGCTGCCATCTTGTAACAATAAGGATCATTTGATTGAGAGGGGATATAAAGCGGACTGTGCATAGGTTTAACGTAAACATTGGTAGACAAACGCCCTTTTCTGAATTGGATGCTGATGTCCAAAAACTTTATTATTATGGAACTTTTCTGTTCTAATTTCAGTTTCAGGCCGTCGTTGTTACGATTAATGCTCTCAACGAATTCAATTATCCTATGGCTATTATTCCATAATATAAAGATGTCATCCACATATCTTTTAAAATATATTATATCATTACAGAGGTCATATAAAACGCTTTTCTCCAGTTTTCTAACAACCAACTCACAAAGTATACCTGAGATCGGATTTCCCATTGGAATTCCCCTTTTCTGTCTATATGTTTGGCCATCATAGCTGAAGATATACTCATAGCATATCAGGTTAGCAAGTTCCACTACTTGGCTGTTGTAATGTAACAATTCAGAGACCTCGTTGAACAAGAATTCGATTCCATAAAGATCTTATCATGCAAGGAAGCACTTCCTTGCATGATAAGATCTTTATGGAAGGATACAAACCTTCATAATCCAATACCGTTCCTACTTCCTCTTCCATTAACGATATGCGCTGTATTTCTTTAACCACAGTCCCGGGATTTTGTGCCACTAGAGAATTGTTATCGAGTTGGGAGGAGATAAATTTGTGCAATTTTTTTTGTAATACAAAAGTCGGTCCCCTGCACTTTTCCACTATTGGCCGTACTTGTTTATCTTCTTTATGTGTTTTAGCGAATGCAAACAATCTTGGAATACCAGGTCTTGGGTTCCGGCACTTCTTAAGAAAAGATAAAACATTAGAAAGGCTTACTCCTTCTAGCTTTTTGACCCTTCTATCAATGGTTTCAATAATTTTAACATTTACCTTTTCACATTCTGTTTTTTGATGTAATCTTCTATCGCCTTTTTGTACGTTTCTCTTTTCATGATCACCAAATGCTTACTTTTGTCCGCTCTTGTTACCAGTAAACCGTTTACGTTCAGCCATCGTTTAGCAATCTGAATGTCGTTATTCTTAACCCCTCTTACCTTCCAACGTTCTTGGTTTTCAATGATCGTTTTCCATATAAAATAATCTTTTTCTAACGAATCTAATCCAACTATCCCCCTATCGTTAGAAAAAGATTATTTTAGATGGAAAACGGTCATTGAATCGTATGACTTCACAGCACACATCTTGGAAACCACTGACTTAAAATTTTATTTATTTATATGTGAATTTAAAAATCGGTTTCGTCAGATTCGACCCCTGGGCCAAAATCTGGTTCTACTTATAACAAAGTGGTTTTAGCTACTGTCTAGGGATGGTTTTATGAGGGCAATAGGAAGGCAATCGCCACTCAAGATTTATTGCTAACAGGAGCTTATTTCATTAAAATAAGAAGTAAAGTATTTTAATTTTATCATCATTTTTCAATTGTGTTGCACTTCTTAACTTTATGAACTTATTTTAAATACTTATTAACATAATAATAAATCGCCTATTCAAGATTTTTAAGATCGATTTTGCTCCTAGCAAATTGGATTCAATATTGCTTCATTTAATAACCTACAGGGTGTTCGGAAAGTCACTGTGCGCTTATATATTTATTAATAGACATGTTTCAATATAGAGTACATGAGGTAAATATGAATGACAATTATAAACAATGTTGAAAGTGACTTCCGTTAGCATCAATACAAGCTTGGATCCTTCTTTTGTTTCTAAACATCGTTAACAGTTGGTCGGTTGAATGAATGCTGTTATCGCTGCTTTCAAGTCATCCAGAATGCGAGGATGATTTCGATACACTGCAGATTTTGCTGCTCCCCATAGATAAAAGTCTGGTGAGCGTGTGGGCCACACGTCTTTCGAAATAATGCGAAAATATTATTAGAAAATTGCACACTGACTTTCCGAATAGCCTGTATAATATCGTTTATTTCGAGAAAGAATTTCTTGTAAGGATTTTTATGCCATTATCTTTTTTCTATTTTAGATTTATCGAAATATCTATTCTCCAGATATTTTTCAGTTTAAAAGCATCTAAATTTGGCAACCATTTTTTTAGATCCATTGCAATCAAACGTTGACTTTGTTTATGTAACATTGTTCATATTTACTTTTCACTAATAATTTTATGAGCATATTTATTTTCATTATAATTAATTGTATGTATATAATTATATCAAAACATTAGTAACTATAAGCGGAACTAATCATAGTTATATTATTTAGAGTTATAGTAGTATAATTAAAGCATTTCTTTGGAAAATTGTCAGCAATTATATAGAATTGTATTACTAATACAACGAAATTCGTATCTATATTATCTGCGTAAGTAATTTATGAAGTCAATTATTAATGAAAAACCGACTGGACAATAAAACTTTCAAACAAATAAAATAATTCATAATGTTGCCTCCTCTAATCATATAAAATAATTGAATATTGAAGAATTAATACGTATAATATCAGGTGGATGGCCGAGTTGCTATGATGGCAGCCTACTGTTCTGGAGCACCCGAGACCAAATGCATTGTGGGCCCTCCTCATTGCTAACTCATAATGGGCTTGCTTAAATAAAGAGGCATTCTCAGTACCCACAAGGCAGAAAGTTAAAATAGTATTGATATATCACGAATACTTAGGCTATATTTTACAACTTATCATTGTAAATATTATGAAAACGTAGTAATAAATAAATAGATTAGATTATTTTTGTTGTTTATTTTAATTGTAGAATTTCTTAATGTTTTAGAATGTCGTTTAAATTAATATTTTATTATAAATACAGTTATAGTAATGTATTTTACTGTATATTTAGGGACATAATATTTAGGAGTCATATGAAGCATTGAGCATTGTTCTTTTTATATCTAGCAGCAGAATATTAGCATTTTATTAATGTACGATTTTAATAATATACGTCCATTTTAAACAATAAAAAGTGGTGTAAAATCATGTTCTGTTATGTATAAATTAATTTAAATTAACAGATCCGTTGTATTAATTTAAAAGAAATTAAATAATTAGTAATAAATTCTTTATTTATTTTACTTTCAAATTAAGAACAATAACCAGCATTAATGTAGCTAAACTTTTAACTATATAATTCTTAATGAGGAAAGAATGCAACAAATGGAAGAGTAGTTTCATAATTCTCCAGCTATTAGTCATCTTTAGGTCATCGCTCGATGTCTGTGTAAACATTAAACTTACATAAAAAAATCCAGTTCAAAAGAACTGGTGATTTAAATATTTTTTACTAAGAAAGATTCTTAACTGCTGACTTCATTCCTTTCATTTTTTTTCTTCTAACAATTATCATCTTAAAATTTTAAAAAAATCATCTGTTATATTTCATCACGTCTAAATATAAAACTTCAAAGAATATTCTATTAAAAAGTTAGTTTATTTGGGAACCAAATAACTATGTTATAAAAATAAATAATCGTGTTTATTAATGATTATATGAAAACAAATTCTAACTAATAAAACAGAAAGCTTCGAATTTAAAGTAGAACGAAATTAAGAGATATTTTAAGGTTTTCTGTGGTATTGAAATCTCTGTTTTGATAAATTATTTTGTAGGTTACTAACGTGTAATGATTCTCATTTAATATGATAAAAGTCCATAAACCGTGGATCTTTAAAATGAAATAAAAACAACCGTAGAATCTATGGATTTATACTAAATTTGTGGATAATTTTAATGTATGTAAGCAATAAAATGGGTTTTTATGGATTAAAATGAATTCAATTTTAAAGTTTAAAATAAAAAAAAAAATGAAATGATTCATTAATAATATCAAAACGAAACTTGATAACACGTCAGTTGTATATCCACGTTTCTCACTTGATACATTCTATCAGTGAACTCTTAATATATGTTTATTTAACATACCTGCGACGCGATGCCAGGAATGAGACCTTGATCCTCTCATAACAGAACAGAAAAAAAGAAAAAACAGTTAATAGAAAATAAACGAGAGTGCTGCTTTATTTTTTTCTTAATTTGAATAAATACAAAAAATTGGCCGTAAAAATTGATAAAAATAGCATTAGTATTGCTACAATTTTAAAATATTTGCATAGTAATGCAAAGAAATTTTGCGTTTGTATGCTTGCTTGATGGATGGATAGAAGATAAATCACTATGATGACGAATAAATATGGCACTTGCACATGAATATGTTCTATTTACAAATGACTTCCTTACTCTAAAATTTATATATAGTCTATATTTATATATAAAAACATTTGATAGCTTCTGCTGGTCAGAATTACAATTGCACAAATGTTAGATTACACCTGAGCTAGTCAGTTTATTAAATAAATAAAAATTCAAAAAATTTGTTGATTTGATCTTTCCATTCTTCAACGTTAAAAGTTCATTTCTATCACTTGATAAACTTTATTTACATACAAAAAATATCTAACATTTCACCATCAAAGGGGACGTCTGGCTGGGCTGCTGAATAGGGAAGATAAGTTTTGTAGTCATTTTCTTAACCCCCAGCATTGTCTTGTACCACATAAAAATCACTTTGTAAAGTAGAAAAATGCTCAAACAACACAAGCAACAACTACAAAAGTTGATATTATTTTTTGTACTTTCTTCTGGAACTTGCTGTTCTATTGTGACTTCAACTAATAATTGCGCTGTTAACGAAACAGCTAAGCCACATAGATCATTGTAATTATAATAAAAGAAAGGTTAATATAAATATAGTATACACATAAATACTAGTAATATCCGAACTGACTAGTTCATCGTGCCTTTTATGGTACGTATCATATGGAGTATTGCATGCTGTCGTTAGAATCCGTATCTGATATGTCGTCTTCTGATGATGTACCGCTCGATGGAGGAGTGTCTAGAACTGGGATATTCAGGTCCAAGTATTCCTAAAAGATATATAAAATTTCATCTATTTTAAGAGTGGAAAGAAAATTTTATATCAATCGATTTTTCAATCTTTAAAATGAATGTTAAATAATAAGCAATTTTCGTTTTAAAACATGGCAATTTTCCAGTGTTACAGTCATTAGTGAAAGCATTTCTTAGAATCAAATTGTATGACTGAATACAAAATTTCCACTTCTAATTATATTATAATTATATTCAAAGAATATCTTCTATAATAAATTTAAATTTGCCTTTGTTATGTAAAGCAAAACGATTAAAATTGTTTATTATTATCAAAAATTGCGTTTTTTTAGAGTCTAAAAGCTTATACTGTAGTTTGCTTTTAGAGTATAAAAAACGCAATTTTTTCAGAATTCTAACTAAATAAATTTTATTAAATGTTCTAAGATTGTATTTTAAATACTTTTAGAGATTTTAAAATATATATATTTCTTATACAGAAAAATTAAAACTGTAATATTTAATGAAGTTTACCTATTCAAAATGTGGATTAACTTATAAATCAGTGCAATTTTTGATATCATAATATAAATTTATGACACAATAAATAAAATAATGCAAATCTTTTAACTTAAAACACTATAAAAATAGAAATCATTAAGGAAAGTTTTAAAAATATTAATTTGGAAATAAAATTTAATATAGATAAAATTATTATTATTATTATTATTATTATTTAAGTTTGTCCTGTTAAATACCATTCTTTTGCTTATATTAATATTTTAATTCTATAGTTCCTTTTTGAAATATTTCTTGAAAGTGATTCTAGAAGCCTCAAATTTAAATCTATAATTGATTTTTCTTTTTGAAAAATTTTTATAGAATTTTCTAGAATTGATTTTTGCCATACAACTTTGAAAAAGCTAAATTCGCGTTAAAGCTATAATAAGTATTCATTATATGTAATGTAGTGTTTAATTCATGTTTTCGAAGGTGGACAGTTTCACTTCCGGACATAATGCGCTCCTAATATATACTGTACGCTCCTAAATTACCTTTATAACATGCAATTCTATTGGTAGAGTTGCACGTTATAAAGGTAATTTCATTCCCAGAAAACAGAGAAAAAAAACTAAAAAGTCTCTTATTAAACTAGGAAAACTTGCATAAACATTTTATATTATATAAAACACTATTTTAAATGTTAAAACCGTTAGTAAAAACAAAAATAGATAATACAAATGAATTGTTTTTTTTTTGGTTTGTTTGTTTAATTAAAACTGGCCATAAAAGTCACCACACAAAAATATACTGTAGCTTAAAATTTACTTTATAGAATAAATATTATGAATCATGTGAATTTAACAGGATTTGGAAAGTCAATTGCTTAATTCTTGATTAAGTATTCTGAGAAATGTTTATAATTTGCTTTGGAGGAAATATATTTGTTTAATATAATCTGTCAGCAATATCTAAAAGGCAACTTAAAGAATCTAAATAATGAAAGCTCTAATATAAACAGCGGTGAGCCTATAGTAAAGTTGTTGGGATTTCGAAAGTCAATTGCTTAAATGTTCTTGTGAAATGTTTCACATTTATATTTTAGTTCGTTAGAAATCATTTAAATTAATTATGTTTTTGTACGTGTTAATTTATGTATAAACTCAAATAAATAAATCAGAATTACTACATTTTTATGATGATTTTCGTAAAAACTATTGATGATGCAATAAATTTGTAATTAAATTAGCAAAATCTGTGTCTACTGGAATAAAAATATTTTAATACAGTTTATAGATTGCTTTATGGGTTTATATTTTTGATCATTTTTAATAAGAAATGTGTTTTCGACTAATACTTGAAGTATAGATTTTTTTTTTAATTCTTTTCATTTTTTATTTTCAAAATATATTTTATCTTGTAATTCAATTCTAAGATTTCTAATGATGATAGTTACCTGATCACACGTAAGAGTTAATATCCTGTCGAGGTCCTCTANAGAATAAATATTATGAATCATGTGAATTTAACAGGATTTGGAAAGTCAATTGCTTAATTCTTGATTAAGTATTCTGAGAAATGTTTATAATTTGCTTTGGAGGAAATATATTTGTTTAATATAATCTGTCAGCAATATCTAAAAGGCAACTTAAAGAATCTAAATAATGAAAGCTCTAATATAAACAGCGGTGAGCCTATAGTAAAGTTGTTGGGATTTCGAAAGTCAATTGCTTAAATGTTCTTGTGAAATGTTTCACATTTATATTTTAGTTCGTTAGAAATCATTTAAATTAATTATGTTTTTGTACGTGTTAATTTATGTATAAACTCAAATAAATAAATCAGAATTACTACATTTTTATGGTGATTTTCGNAAGCGGCGCTTCCAACGCTTCTAATGACGGCACGCCACTGCTAATAGATATATTATATCTACATTAACAAATGTTATATGTTTTTTTATCAAAGCAAGAATTGGCATTTAGAGGGCGTAGGGAATCAATTTATCTAATAACAGTGGTAATTATATATTGAACTTGTTTATTTATCAAGTACAGTCGACCCCCTATAAAACGGGTTCATATAGTTCGGATTCCTATATCACGGCGAAAAAATTGCGACAGTATTCGTACAAACACGCTAAAAATCGTCATCGCCGACTCGTGTCGCGACAAGATTGGTCGAATCTAGACCAATAGCGGATATTGTACATACCGTTGAGTTTAAACGAGCAGCGGACCTACTAAAAACCATTTATTATTTAACGTCCATAAAAATTATATTTATATTAATAATGTCTCCAAAGTTCAGCGAATTTTTCGCAAAAAAAATAAATTATCAGGAAGCACGCGAGCGCCATTCGATGCACGCTCCACGACGAAAACAAGCTTAAGCAATGGCGTCGTCTAACGGTGCACACTCGGTAAGTAATCCTACAATTTTGTTTATAGCATAGTTTATATGGATTATTCCCAAAAAATATACGTATTTTGGAAATATTGAGTCGAATTAGTCTAGAATCGATTAATTTTATGGAAGAAACCTTTCAAACAGCCGTAGTCCGTAAACTGCATACGTGCCGGGCTGTGATTGGCTCATGTATTTAAGTGACTCGTAGAAAATGGATTCATAAAAACCGGAACGTATCTATCGTGTTATAGGGGGTATTTATTTTTAATTTTGACCTTTATTAAACCGAAAATTTTGTTTGTGATTAAAAATATATGTAAAAAAATATTCAGCAACAAGTTGCTTAATTTTCCCGGAAACATTTAAAACTGCCTATGTGGCATCATCTGTTATAACATTTTATTATTAAAACTTTTTGTCATTTTATAATAATTAAAAATATAAAGATTAATTTTGAGAGCAGGGGTAGGTTTTATAAAAAAAAATTATAAATGCTAATAATGAGTAAAATCGTCACCAAGTCTGAACATACTGGAGATACACACGACCCCCATATCTCCCCATCCCTCGACCTTTAATCGCCAAAATTTAATAGCATCAGTCCACTCAAATTCCTTGTTATAACGCCGATATAATCTTTCCTAATCCTCAGTTGCGGGTTTTCGTATGGTATCCTATACACGCCTGCTTTTTCTTCCTTACTAATGCTATTCTTGTCATTTCTTAAAATTTTATATAGGTTCGGGGCTCTTTTTTAGAATAATTGTTGATCCTTTGCGGTCTGCAATTTCTTTCATAATTCCTTTGGCATATCTGTTATAAGTGAATTTTGTAATTTTACTGGGACCTTGTATTGAGCCAGTTGTTATGCCCTTCTCGCATCTTCTAACGATTCCTATTATAGTGCCTTTATTGTATCCTAACGGTTCAACAACTTGCAGAATTCTGTCAATTTCCTTTGCTCTGTCCATAACGTTGTCACAATATAGAAAGACCCTTCTGATTAGAGCCCGGAATGCTGCCATCTTGTAACAATAAGGATCATTTGATTGAGAGGGGATATAAAGCGGACTGTGCATAGGTTTAACGTAAACATTGGTAGACAAACGCCCTTTTCTGAATTGGATGCTGATGTCCAAAAACTTTATTATTATGGAACTTTTCTGTTCTAATTTCAGTTTCAGGCCGTCGTTGTTACGATTAATGCTCTCAACGAATTCAATTATCCTATGGCTATTATTCCATAATATAAAGATGTCATCCACATATCTTTTAAAATATATTATATCATTACAGAGGTCATATAAAACGCTTTTCTCCAGTTTTCTAACAACCAACTCACAAAGTATACCTGAGATCGGATTTCCCATTGGAATTCCCCTTTTCTGTCTATATGTTTGGCCATCATAGCTGAAGATATACTCATAGCATATCAGGTTAGCAAGTTCCACTACTTGGCTGTTGTAATGTAACAATTCAGAGACCTCGTTGAACAAGAATTCGATTCCATAAAGATCTTATCATGCAAGGAAGCACTTCCTTGCATGATAAGATCTTTATGGAAGGATACAAACCTTCATAATCCAATACCGTTCCTACTTCCTCTTCCATTAACGATATGCGCTGTATTTCTTTAACCACAGTCCCGGGATTTTGTGCCACTAGAGAATTGTTATCGAGTTGGGAGGAGATAAATTTGTGCAATTTTTTTTGTAATACAAAAGTCGGTCCCCTGCACTTTTCCACTATTGGCCGTACTTGTTTACCTTCTTTATGTGTTTTAGCGAATGCAAACAATCTTGGAATACCAGGTCTTGGGTTCCGGCACTTCTTAAGAAAAGATAAAACATTAGAAAGGCTTACTCCTTCTAGCTTTTTGACCCTTCTATCAATGGTTTCAATAATTTTAACATTTACCTTTTCACATTCTGTTTTTTGATGTAATCTTCTATCGCCTTTTTGTACGTTTCTCTTTTCATGATCACCAAATGCTTACTTTTGTCCGCTCTTGTTACCAGTAAACCGTTTACGTTCAGCCATCGTTTAGCAATCTGAATGTCGTTATTCTTAACCCCTCTTACCTTCCAACGTTCTTGGTTTTCAATGATCGTTTTCCATATAAAATAATCTTTTTCTAACGAATCTAATCCAACTATCCCCCTATCGTTAGAAAAAGATTATTTTAGATGGAAAACGGTCATTGAATCGTATGACTTCACAGCACACATCTTGGAAACCACTGACTTAAAATTTTATTTATTTATATGTGAATTTAAAAATCGGTTTCGTCAGATTCGACCCCTGGGCCAAAATCTGGTTCTACTTATAACAAAGTGGTTTTAGCTACTGTCTAGGGATGGTTTTATGAAGGCAATAGGAAGGCAATCGCCACTCAAGATTTATTGCTAACAGGAGCTTATTTCATTAAAATAAGAAGTAAAGTATTTTAATTTTATCATCATTTTTCAATTGTGTTGCACTTCTTAACTTTATGAACTTATTTTAAATACTTATTAACATAATAATAAATCGCCTATTCAAGATTTTTAAGATCGATTTTGCTCCTAGCAAATTGGATTCAATATTGCTTCATTTAATAACCTACAGGGTGTTCGGAAAGTCACTGTGCGCTTATATATTTATTAATAGACATGTTTCAATATAGAGTACATGAGGTAAATATGAATGACAATTATAAACAATGTTGAAAGTGACTTCCGTTAGCATCAATACAAGCTTGGATCCTTCTTTTGTTTCTAAACATCGTTAACAGTTGGTCGGTTGAATGAATGCTGTTATCGCTGCTTTCAAGTCATCCAGAATGCGAGGATGATTTCGATACACTGCAGATTTTGCTGCTCCCCATAGATAAAAGTCTGGTGAGCGTGTGAGCCACACGTCTTTCGAAATAATGCGAAAATATTATTAGAAAATTGCACACTGACTTTCCGAATAGCCTGTATAATATCGTTTATTTCGAGAAAGAATTTCTTGTAAGGATTTTTATGCCATTATCTTTTTTCTATTTTAGATTTATCGAAATATCTATTCTCCAGATATTTTTCAGTTTAAAAGCATCTAAATTTGGCAACCATTTTTTTAGATCCATTGCAATCAAACGTTGACTTTGTTTATGTAACATTGTTCATATTTACTTTTCACTAATAATTTTATGAGCATATTTATTTTCATTATAATTAATTGTATGTATATAATTATATCAAAACATTAGTAACTATAAGCGGAACTAATCATAGTTATATTATTTAGAGTTATAGTAGTATAATTAAAGCATTTCTTTGGAAAATTGTCAGCAATTATATAGAATTGTATTACTAATACAACGAAATTCGTATCTATATTATCTGCGTAAGTAATTTATGAAGTCAATTATTAATGAAAAACCGACTGGACAATAAAACTTTCAAACAAATAAAATAATTCATAATGTTGCCTCCTCTAATCATATAAAATAATTGAATATTGAAGAATTAATACGTATAATATCAGGTGGATGGCCGAGTTGCTATGATGGCAGCCTACTGTTCTGGAGCACCCGAGACCAAATGCATTGTGGGCCCTCCTCATTGCTAACTCATAATGGGCTTGCTTAAATAAAGAGGCATTCTCAGTACCCACAAGGCAGAAAGTTAAAATAGTATTGATATATCACGAATACTTAGGCTATATTTTACAACTTATCATTGTAAATATTATGAAAACGTAGTAATAAATAAATAGATTAGATTATTTTTGTTGTTTATTTTAATTGTAGAATTTCTTAATGTTTTAGAATGTCGTTTAAATTAATATTTTATTATAAATACAGTTATAGTAATGTATTTTACTGTATATTTAGGGACATAATATTTAGGAGTCATATGAAGCATTGAGCATTGTTCTTTTTATATCTAGCAGCAGAATATTAGCATTTTATTAATGTACGATTTTAATAATATACGTCCATTTTAAACAATAAAAAGTGGTGTAAAATCATGTTCTGTTATGTATAAATTAATTTAAATTAACAGATCCGTTGTATTAATTTAAAAGAAATTAAATAATTAGTAATAAATTCTTTATTTATTTTACTTTCAAATTAAGAACAATAACCAGCATTAATGTAGCTAAACTTTTAACTATATAATTCTTAATGAGGAAAGAATGCAACAAATGGAAGAGTAGTTTCATAATTCTCCAGCTATTAGTCATCTTTAGGTCATCGCTCGATGTCTGTGTAAACATTAAACTTACATAAAAACATCCAGTTCAAAAGAACTGGTGATTTAAATATTTTTTACTAAGAAAGATTCTTAACTGCTGACTTCATTCCTTTCATTTTTTTTTTCTTCTAACAATTATCATCTTAAAATTTTAAAAAAATCATCTGTTATATTTCATCACGTCTAAATATAAAACTTCAAAGAATATTCTATTAAAAAGTTAGTTTATTTGGGAACCAAATAACTATGTTATGAAAATAAATAATCGTGTTTATTAATGATTATATGAAAACAAATTCTAACTAATAAAACAGAAAGCTTCGAATTTAAAGTAGAACGAAATTAAGAGATATTTTAAGGTTTTCTGTGGTATTGAAATCTCTGTTTTGATAAATTATTTTGTAGGTTACTAACGTGTAATGATTCTCATTTAATATGATAAAAGTCCATAAACCGTGGATCTTTAAAATGAAATAAAAACAACCGTAGAATCTATGGATTTATACTAAATTTGTGGATAATTTTAATGTATGTAAGCAATAAAATGGATTTTTATGGATTAAAATGAATTCAATTTTAAAGTTTAAAATAAAAAAAAAATGAAATGATTCATTAATAATATCAAAACGAAACTTGATAACACGTCAGTTGTATATCCATGTTTCTCACTTGATACATTCTATCAGTGAACTCTTAATATATGTTTATTTAACATACCTGCGACGCGATGCCAGGAATGAGACCTTGATCCTCTCATAACAGAACAGAAAAAAAGAAAAAACAGTTAATAGAAAATAAACGAGAGTGCTGCTTTATTTTTTTCTTAATTTGAATAAATACAAAAAATTGGCCGTAAAAATTGATAAAAATAGCATTAGTATTGCTACAATTTTAAAATATTTGCATAGTAATGCAAAGAAATTTTGCGTTTGTATGCTTGCTTGATGGATGGATAGAAGATAAATCACTATGATGACGAATAAATATGGCACTTGCACATGAATATGTTCTATTTACAAATGACTTCCTTACTCTAAAATTTATATATAGTCTATATTTATATATAAAAACATTTGATAGCTTCTGCTGGTCAGAATTACAATTGCACAAATGTTAGATTACACCTGAGCTAGTCAGTTTATTAAATAAATAAAAATTCAAAAAATTTGTTGATTTGATCTTTCCATTCTTCAACGTTAAAAGTTCATTTCTATCACTTGATAAACTTTATTTACATACAAAAAATATCTAACATTTCACCATCAAAGGGGACGTCTGGCTGGGCTGCTGAATAGGGAAGATAAGTTTTGTAGTCATTTTCTTAACCCCCAGCATTGTCTTGTACCACATAAAAATCACTTTGTAAAGTAGAAAAATGCTCAAACAACACAAGCAACAACTACAAAAGTTGATATTATTTTTTGTACTTTCTTCTGGAACTTGCTGTTCTATTGTGACTTCAACTAATAATTGCGCTGTTAACGAAACAGCTAAGCCACATAGATCATTGTAATTATAATAAAAGAAAGGTTAATATAAATATAGTATACACATAAATACTAGTAATATCCGAACTGACTAGTTCATCGTGCCTTTTATGGTACGTATCATATGGAGTATTGCATGCTGTCGTTAGAATCCGTATCTGATATGTCGTCTTCTGATGATGTACCGCTCGATGGAGGAGTGTCTAGAACTGGGATATTCAGGTCCAAGTATTCCTAAAAGATATATAAAATTTCATCTATTTTAAGAGTGGAAAGAAAATTTTATATCAATCGATTTTTCAATGTTTAAAATGAATGTTAAATAATAAGCAATTTTCGTTTTAAAACATGGCAATTTTCCAGTGTTACAGTCATTAGTGAAAGCATTTCTTAGAATCAAATTGTATGACTGAATACAAAATTTCCACTTCTAATTATATTATAATTATATTCAAAGAATATCTTCTATAATAAATTTAAATTTGCCTTTGTTATGTAAAGCAAAACGATTAAAATTGTTTATTATTATCAAAAATTGCGTTTTTTTAGAGTCTAAAAGCTTATACTGTAGTTTGCTTTTAGAGTATAAAAAACGCAATTTTTTCAGAATTCTAACTAAATAAATTTTATTAAATGTTCTAAGATTGTATTTTAAATACTTTTAGAGATTTTAAAATATATATATTTCTTATACAGAAAAATTAAAACTGTAATATTTAATGAAGTTTACCTATTCAAAATGTGGATTAACTTATAAATCAGTGCAATTTTTGATATCATAATATAAATTTATGACACAATAAATAAAATAATGCAAATCTTTTAACTTAAAACACTATAAAAATAGAAATCATTAAGGAAAGTTTTAAAAATATTAATTTGGAAATAAAATTTAATATAGATAAAATTATTATTATTATTATTATTATTATTTAAGTTTGTCCTGTTAAATACCATTCTTTTGCTTATATTAATATTTTAATTCTATAGTTCCTTTTTGAAATATTTCTTGAAAGTGATTCTAGAAGCCTCAAATTTAAATCTATAATTGATTTTTCTTTTTGAAAAATTTTTATAGAATTTTCTAGAATTGATTTTTGCCATACAACTTTGAAAAAGCTAAATTCGCGTTAAAGCTATAATAAGTATTCATTATATGTAATGTAGTGTTTAATTCATGTTTTCGAAGGTGGACAGTTTCACTTCCGGACATAATGCGCTCCTAATATATACTGTACGCTCCTAAATTACCTTTATAACATGCAATTCTATTGGTAGAGTTGCACGTTATAAAGGTAATTTCATTCCCAGAAAACAGAGAAAAAAAACTAAAAAGTCTCTTATTAAACTAGGAAAACTTGCATAAACATTTTATATTATATAAAACACTATTTTAAATGTTAAAACCGTTAGTAAAAACAAAAATAGATAATACAAATGAATTGTTTTTTTTTTGGTTTGTTTGTTTAATTAAAACTGGCCATAAAAGTCACCACACAAAAATATACTGTAGCTTAAAATTTACTTTATAGAATAAATATTATGAATCATGTGAATTTAACAGGATTTGGAAAGTCAATTGCTTAATTCTTGATTAAGTATTCTGAGAAATGTTTATAATTTGCTTTGGAGGAAATACTTTTGTTTAATATAATCTGTCAGCAATATCTAAAAGGCAACTTAAAGAATCTAAATAATGAAAGCTCTAATATAAACAGCGGTGAGCCTATAGTAAAGTTGTTGGGATTTCGAAAGTCAATTGCTTAAATGTTCTTGTGAAATGTTTCACATTTATATTTTAGTTCGTTAGAAATCATTTAAATTAATTATGTTTTTGTACGTGTTAATTTATGTATAAACTCAAATAAATAAATCAGAATTACTACATTTTTATGATGATTTTCGTAAAAACTATTGATGATGCAATAAATTTGTAATTAAATTAGAAAAATCTGTGTCTACTGGAATAAAAATATTTTAATACAGTTTATAGATTGCTTTATGGGTTTATATTTTTGATCATTTTTAATAAGAAATGTGTTTTCGACTAATACTTGAAGTATAGATTTTTTTTTAATTCTTTTCATTTTTTATTTTCAAAATATATTTTATCTTGTAATTCAATTCTAAGATTTCTAATGATGATAGTTACCTGATCACACGTAAGAGTTAATATCCTGTCGAGGTCCTCTACCAGCTCGCTAAAAGTAGGTCTGTGATTAGGTGAGGCTTGCCAACATTCCCTCATTATCATATAGCTAAGAAAATAAATATATTTAATAGTATAAATAATTATTAAATAAGAGATATTGTGAAATTTGCACTTACATTTCTAAAGAACAATGAATGGGTTTTTCCATTCTGTGACCATCTTTTAACAACTGAAATAGTTTCTCGATAGGAATGGATGGATAAGGTGTGCCTCCTAAAGTCATAATTTCCCATAAGAGTATACCATAGGACCAGCTACAAAAAAGTAAGATCTTCGAATTTAAATATCATTTAAAATAAGCTTTAATTTACAATAAATTTAAACACTTACACGTCACTTTGAGGAGTATAAACGCGATCAAAGAGTGCTTCTGGTGCCATCCATTTGACCGGTAACCTTCCCTGTTGAATTAGTTTAAGTGATTAAAAATTTTATTATTGAAATTTCCTATAAATAATTCATCATTAGATTTACATCAGTAGTTTTCTTGTAGTAATCAATGTTATGTATATCTCGAGCCAAACCAAAATCTGCAATTTTCATGATGTGGTCTTCAGTCACTAAGACATTACGAGCTGCCAAATCTCTGTGTATACACTGAAAAAACATTTTTTAATGTTAATTTTTGCATATAAATCTGAAGGAAAGAGCGAATAATTGATTAGTTACCTTTTTGGATGCGAGATAATCCATTCCTCTAGCGATTTGATAAGCAAAAGAGACTAGATCCATCTGATTTAAAGTCTTTGGTTTGAAGTTTGTACCGATTGCGCGTTCGTATCCAGAACTAGGACGGTGTGATCTTAAGAAATCGCGAAGATTTCCATTTGGAGCATATTCTACAATTACGTACAAAGGACCTAGAAAAAAAATAAATAAATAAAATGAATTTTAAACAATTGTTCTGCCTTACAAATTAAAATTATCTTGAGTAAGCATGTTGTTGAAATTCATAAATAAAATTTCAATTTACCATTTTGTGTACAACATCCTAAAAGATTAATAATATTTATATGTTTCCCAATCAATTTCATCACTTCCATTTCTGAAACCAAATCTGCCATTTCTCGATCCGTATGACCATCTGTAGATAGAAATGCAATAAGTTCAATTATTAAGATAAAACTTGCATTTAGACTAAAACAAGAACCATAAACTGAGTTTTAACTCACCCTTTAACATCTTCACTGCTACAATAGTAGGTTTTTCCTTTCCGTATAATGAATAAACTTCCCCCTTCATCACCTGACCAAATGCCCCTTCACCCAAAGGTTTTCCCAACACCAACCTAACAAGAGGAGAAGAAACGCTTTGTTAGTCTTGAAAATTCATGCAACCCCATTTATTAGTTAATGAAGATTCATGCAATACAGAAGAAAAGAATAGTAAAAGTGGAACGAGAAAGAAAATATGGAGGATCTTTCTGATTTTTGAAAAACAGTTTAGCTAACCTTTCTCGAGGAACTTCCCACTCTGGGTCCAATGGCAATTCGTATTCTGATACAGTCGTTAATTCTGAAGAGAGACGACCTCTTGGGCAATCTATCTTCACTAAAGGGGCTACTGAAGTTTGAGATGTATCAGAATCCTATAGACAAGCGTTAAACCTTTAGACAAACGTAACTGAATCCTTCTGAAAGTGGAATCTAGAAGGATTTATACCTGTCTTTCCAAAACAACTTTTTTCTTAATAATAATGTGATTTGGTGCATTAGCTAAAGATAACTTTTGTTGTTGAGATGCTGCTGCACGATAAGCCAACACTGCAACACCCGTGCTTACCACTCCAATAGCGACCATACAGATGATTACGATGGTCCAAGTTTGCAAACCACGAAATCCATGATTTATTGGCATAGCCGCTACTTTATCGGTACTGTTAACTTCCGTAGGATCTAATCAAACAGATAATCATCATTTAGCAAAGTTAGATTTCATAATATTTATCTAAATTGAGTAAAATATTTACGTGGTATGACGTTAAGATAAACTGTTCGATATGTATATCCTAAAGAATTGCCTGCGAGACATGTATACCATTCTTCATCGTCAAAGGTGACATTATTGATAACTAATATATGGGGATCTGTGATATTAGGATCGGTATTCTGAAGAAAGAACGTCTCGAGATTAGTGTCATTTACTAATATTCACTTTGTTTACTAGATAGGAACTTACATAAATAGGCGTTACGTAAGGAAAACTGTCGTTATAATTGTAAGATCCGTTGATCGTGTAATGTTTTAACCATCTAACATGAGGTTGAAGATCGCTGATGAAACGACATTCAAATCGTGCTTGATCTCCTACGTATACAGTTTGATTGGACGGATAACCATCTCTTATTATAGGTTTATGAGGCACTCGTTCTGTGCAAAAGTAAACAATTTTTAATAAATAAAATATTAATAATTGAATATCAAATCATAATACTTGAAGAACTTAAAGAAATATACCTTGAACTTCGAGAATATAAGTAGAATTAATAGTTTCTTCCCCACGCGTTAAAATACAAGTATAATTTCCGCTATCCGTTGTCATTAAATTAAGCATAACTATTGACCATTTACGGAATATAATCTGTTAAATATTTTTAAATGTTAAATTATTATTTTTTAATATAAAATAATTCATTATTCATTTATATTATAAATATTTACAGATTTATTTTAAAAGAAAGCAGCTTGTAAGTAATTTGCTCTTTATTTGTTTTACGAGTAATTGAAATTTATAATTTAAAGTTTACACTTTCTTGATTTACGCTCTCTTTTCGTACGATTTATCTCTAAAAAACATGAAAAAAAATTTACAGACATCACACTTCATCTTTTTTTAGTTGCATTCCAGCATCTAAGCGAAACGTTCCTATTAGCTTTCCCTGTCTGTTTGTACAACTACAAAAATAATACAGTTCTAACTGAATGAATCTGATTAAATTTTTATGCTTTAAATTCTTATATTGATTGATATTTTTTAAGGCTTTAGTACAATTAAGAATTTATGGTGATGACTGCCTGAACGAAAATGAATTAGCAAATTGTCATCTTAATGGACCGTTTAACGAACTTTGTCGTTACAACGTTTACAAAAACATTTTGTAAATTTCTCTCTTGTCTATTCTAGAATGCGTGTAATTTGTGTTTAAAATTACTTTACACCTACCTTCTCACGGCGATATAAATTTAATTTTAGTAAGGTTTTTTTTATATATATATGTTTTACAGCGATATATCGCAGTAAAACATAATTAAAACTTAGATAAAACGCAAATTAAACATCGAAAAATTCTCTTTAATCGTGGAATTTATCAAAAATATTTATCATGAATTTAAAATTCATGATAAATACTTGAAAATCATAAATTGTCCGTTCGAAATTCGTGTTTAAACTGCTAGATTCAACGAACATGTCCACAGAATTAACACGAAAAACGTGAACTTGACATAAATAAAACATGAAATTTTTATACACTGTCGAACCTCCGATAACGTCTTCCTCAAACAGCGCTCATTTTTTTTTCAGGAACTTTCTTTGAATAAAAATGCATATAAAATAACCTTCAAACAATTGCCACCTCCAAACGACGGCCATTTTTGTTATGTTCTTGTCAGTGGCCGTTGTTCAGAAGTTTGACTATATTTATATTACATAAAATACCATTAATTAAAATATATTACCTCTTTATCTAAAGTTCTTGTAGGTGTTTGAGAATTTTTTAACCATGTCACGTTTGCAGAAGTAATACCTTCGTAAGGACATTTCAGCACCACCATACTTCCTGCAGGTTTGGCAATTAAAATGATGTCTTTTTTGTCTTGTTCAAAAAATTTTGAGTCTGAAAAGTAAAAAAATGAATTACTTGACTTTTCGTTAGGAATTAGAAATTAAAATTTATTTTATCTAAAAATTTATTCGAAATTCTGTTAAATAACACTATTATAAATCTTTTTGTACAATAATTTCTTACATTTTTCAGAGGAATCATGTTTGACACTTGTATCAAAATCCATACCTTCATCTTGAAACATGTCATCTGGAAAAAAATTTGGTCCAGAAGTATTTCTTATTGGGAATTTCATTAGGTTTTTTGTTTTAAAACATTATTTTACAAGGAAAATATTATTTATAATTTATTTTGTACCAGAATTTAAATTATATTTGTATTTAAAAAAGGAGAGGGAAGAATATAGGAGAAGGCATGGACAGGAAGGTCTAGGATTAAATATGGTTTAATAGGGAAAATATTTGGGAAATGTACTTTAAAATGAGGGAAAACTAATGATTAAATCTCTTCTTTGTATTGAATGTATTTTTTCTGAATTTAAGTGAAAAATGTGTGATTCATCAAGGTTTATTTGATGCTTACCAATAACTTTCACCGTAAAGTTTTTCCATAAGATTCCGAATTCATTAAAGGCTTTGCACGCGTATGTATCAGTATCATCATCTTCAACATCATTTATAGTTAAGCTGTATCTGCTTGTCTTTATTCGTGGCGAATTGCTAGATATTAATTCATTATCTCTGTACCATATAAGATAAGGTTTAGGTGAACCATCAACTGGACAACGCAACTTCACCTTTTCACCTCTTGGCACTTCGAGATATGTTGGTCCATCTTCACGTAACTTGGGTGGAACTGTAAATATAAAGGAGTATTGTGGAATGTATATAATATTTTAGCAACATTTTGTTTCTCAAGGTTAAAAATATAATTATAAAATCGGTAGTGACATCCGTGGGACATCGGAAAACAAATGATGACAGAGATGGATGGCCAGCATCCATTTTGCTACAAAAAAAAACATACAATTTGTTCTCTAAATAAAACAAATGTTCATTATTAAAGTAAAGCGTTGCTCTATCGGGATTAATTCGAGCGTAGTGCTTAGAGATTTTTAAATTTCTCGAGTTAACTCGCAATCGATATACCTGGAAAGGGACTTGTGGCAGTTTGAATTTTGGGATGTTCAAAATAAAGATTAACTCGAATAATCTACATTGATATGGAGAATTATCCATAAAATTCTTGAGAGTCATTCAACTCGTGTCATTCGATAGCAAAGCAAACTGTCACCTTAGGGACATAGCGCTACACATTCGTTAACACCGTAATGCCATAAAGGCCGTCTGTCCATGTTGGGAGAGAGGTTGGATTATTGCCAAAAGAGCGCTGTAAACATATGTGCAGTGAGGGTGACTATATCCACGTGCAGGGGAGACTATTAATAAACAAGAGGGAATAGCAGATAGGATTAGTTGATGAGCAGATTTCATCTCTAGCTATAAATAACACTTTCTTCCGATCTGTCACCCTCCACAAATTTCCACTTTATTCGTGTTTTAAAATCCAAATAGGTTCTCCTAAAAAGGCGAATACGACGTTTTAATGTCTCTCTTTCGACTTCCTACACCTTATTTGGAGAGGAATTAAAACCTTTAATGATTACGATATCCATTTTTATATCGTAAAGACGAAATTTCCAATGTTGCATAATTGCGTCAATTGACAACAGATGGCACAACCTATCATTTGCCACTCGATGAAAACGAAATGACCGAACCCATTAAACTTCTTGTGCTCTTCTTAATTTAACATTAATTTTTAAAATTAATCTAATGTTACTTTACATAATTATCATCATTTTAAATTGAATATCAATAATAGCAATTGTGTGTTGCTATTCAATTGTGTTCCTGAGACTATTCCCCGAAATGAAAGTATCAAGAGAGTATTCTTGAAAAATACTTCAAAGAATATTGAATCATACTCTTACATTTCTCTGAATCTTAATTTATATGATCCGCTATACTCGAATTAAACCGTTAACCCGAAATAATTTGAGCCATTTGAGCTCTCGTTACATGTTTGAATGCAAAATCTTTCTGTGGTTACAATCGTGACCACAGGAATATTTGTTCTAAGAATTCTTGTTTCAATTAAATATACCGCACGAGCTATACGAAATCCTCTTTTGAAAAATTATATAATTTAATTGGTTAAAAAAAAATAGTGTAATCTTATTTACACCAAGTCGTTCCTAAACTGGTAATTTTGATAGTAACAAAAACTCATATTCATGTTTAATATATGTAAGTGTCTTATTTCTCTGGATGAGTAGAAAGTTGACAACTTTTATCGCAGGAGGGAGACGTTGCAGTTTTTAGGAGCAGTCGGTAACGTAGAAATACCTCCACAAATCAAACACCCTAAATACCGATGTCAGCTTCTGGTCGCGTCATTCCGTGAAGTGAATTCGTTTCTGATGGCTTTACCTCTCGAAGAGACACACACCAGAAATTATCTGTTTTCTATCTCCAAAATTTCGAGTGAGGTACTCCACCCAACCTATTTGTCTCTGCTGCACTTAAGTACTCGTTAGGAGTTTCTATATATGAGTAACCTTAATACGAGGGATGATAAATGTCATAATTAAAGGAATAGAAGGGCATAATGCTCGGCATATTGAATTACTTTAACTTGTATACAAATCTGTTATGTATTCTTCTTTCTCTTTACTGTAATTACTGTAGGATGCGTATCACGTTTACCGAGGGAGCAGGTGGACAGTAACAACTAAATTAAGTCGAGTAGACGAGACGTTTGTCGGCCCACTCCTTTGAATATTCCTCGAAAGTGTGTCCGAAATTTCCGGTCAGTTCTTCCACTCCTTCGAGTTTAACGAATGTTTTTAAGATGGAATTTTTAGTGCCATTCTCTACTATGGTGTCTGTTTTACGAGGTTCAGCTATAAAAGTGGATCCGTGGCTCCTCCAAGTCAGTAAAGTAGTACATTTTAAAAGGCTGAAATACTATCTTGTTGTTAGTGGCTTCTGGTTGAGATTTTCTAGATGCAATATGCAACAAGAAACCATTGAAGCATATAAAAATTATATGGATGTCAAAGGGATCTTCATGCTCATATTTATTTAATTTTTTTTGTATTTTAGTTACAATTTTTTTGTTATTATTATGTTTTTTTATGGCGCTTAGTTGTAAAACTCTTATAGATCCTCTAAGTTAACATGGCTTAATTTGAAAGGTGAAATTTCATTGCTTATGCTTTTGCTCAAAATTTCCTTAACGTAACATGTGACATAAGATAAAGGATCATTGGAGTACGTAAAAGTTATCTGGATGTCAAAGTGATTTTCATGCTTATATATATATATTTTTTTTCCTAAGCTGTGTGTGGTTTCGTTCCTTAGTAGTATTTTAGCATAAATAACCAGAAGTATGATGTAATTACGACACTTTACCAATCAGAGGTCGTAATAAACAATAATTAATCCTTGTAAAGACAGTAAAAAGGAGACGCACACTTCCTGTGCATAATCAACAGACCGTGAGTGGCCTTGCATCAAATGTTTATTATACGAGAGTTAGGGTTGATCTCTATAAAAACCAGGTGCCCCAATGTATACAAGCCAAAGTTTGGGAGAGATAAACATCCACAAAATGATGGATAGAGGGCAGGAGTCTGTAGTAACCTTAACTGACTGTATGCATATTAAAATTAATTTCTATTAGTCTCTATAACAGATAATTGTTTACTAAAGTAAAGGTACAATTAAAGTTCTGCTTTCAATGCCGAGGTCAAAATGAAATAACGTACGAGATTCTCAAGTTACTCTTAACAAAATTCACTCCAATAATGTTTATTTAGATATTCAACAGATGTGTTGGATATTTAAGTGAAGTCTGCTCTAGGTTTTATAAATTAAGATAGGGTTATCACTGTTGAATATGGTGAAATCACATGGAAAAGGTAAACAAGCTTAAAGAAAATTTTACATGTAGATATGATGTTTTGATAATATAGAATTGTATAATTAGAATACACTTAAAAAAGCGTATCCAGTGAAGAAAGAAAATCATTAAAATTCGAAATTAACATTACAAAGTGTTACGAATATTCCTATTTTTTTCAGAAAAAGAGCATTCAAGATGACAATTTCGAACTCAACATCATTCGATTACTTACGTAAATTACTCTGAGATGATAATTAAATTAATAAATGCGGATTTTTATTTTTAAAAAACTCAGTTATCCATTAAGATTGTTCTCAACATAAAAACCACTCAATTAAACTACATTAAAATCATTTGAAGTTGTTATAATTCTGTTCAAAATTATAACAAACAGTTTGGAGGAGTCTCTTAATGCAGATAAGCTTAGCAAATATTTCATCTCTTTATTATTCGCTTAACACGAATAATTAAAACCCTCGAGAATCACTCACTTTTATCTAAAAATCGAATTTACATTTCTGTTTAATAAATCGTTAAACGATTCATTTATCAATATTTCACGATATTCTTTTGTGTAATTTGCATTTTTCAATATCAGATTTGATCGTAATCACGTATTTTTTCGAACATGACTTGATTAAAAGGTATTTAACCGAAGCAAGAAGTGACGAATGAGTTTGTTGATATTAGCGTAGATTTAGTTCCTGGAGGCGTTACAATTTATCAGGATCAGATAGTGTAACTGTGTAACAGGTAATCTAAGATGATTTTTCACATTAATCCCGCCCGGTTTTTTTTTTTATCTACTACCTTTCGAAAACTAATTTATGTTTCAGAAAACTGATAAATCTAAAAGGCTCCATTGCTACACTTTATCATTTTTTGTACAGGAGTGATGATTACTCTCTAGATTAAATTTCTGTGGTTTACATCAACAAAATTTGCTACCTTTTTTTTTCTTCTTCTTCTTTAAAGTATACACACCTGACCCGACAATTGATTGCTTAAGAGCCACACCAAATCTCTTGCAATTTTTGGAATTTTAAAATTAACGAGCGTGTCATTCAGTAGCGAAACACATTAACAGCTCATAAAATTTATAAATTTTCAATTTTTTTTTTTTAATACGCCTTATCATAATATATTGAGACACAAATTTTTAAGTATCATTAATAAATATACTATCTTAATATATTTATTTTTACAAGGCTATAAATTTTTGTGCATGATCGAGCGTGATTAAAAATACTACATATTACATCATACATGGCATCTTAACAGTACCTCCAACTGCTTTGACCCTGGTAAATTACGTCAGATAGTTACGTTACCGTACCACAAATTTTAGAATTGGCAAGAGTACAGAATAAAATACTGAAAATTACGTTAAAAACGAAACGGATTGCTAACACCATCACGTCATGGCAAATTTGCTTAGTTTGCTTGCCAAAATGAATGATCGGGTTAGCATATTTTTGTCTTTTTCAAATTATGTCATAATAGGAATGTAGAGAAAAAAAATTTGTATTGAAAAATATTTATAATTATGATGTATTGATAAATTAATAAATTGGTACAAAATACGTGTTGTAATTTTAATATTTTATAATAAAATTTTTCGTATTACATCATAATATTTCGTTTTTATAACAATTATTATATCACAGTTTTAATTACTTCATTATTACGTCACACAGTTTGAAATTCTTAAAATTGATTATTACGTCACGATACCGTTTCCTTGATACCAATTATTACGTCATAATTTCAATATTTTTCTACTGATTATTACGTCATGATGTGTGTTTTATTTCGATTATTAACGTCACAATCTTATTATTTTTTTTTAATCAAACCAATTAAAACATTGCATTTTATTAAGTTTT